CAATATGCATTAAATTTTATTGGATGAATTATATACTGGGTGACATGAACCTTTTGCTGAAAGAGAAAGCATTTACTAGTAATATATTATCCACTTTTGAACATAAGACGGTAATGGTGAGTGGGTGGGTTCATGTGGCATATCAAGCTAACGTGATGGGTGAAGCAGCCTTTGGGTTTAGCTGGTAGTTCAATACGTTGTACAAATTTAGGCAAGATGGTTAATTCAGTAAATGATGCTACGAGAACCCAGCCAGTGTTGTGGTTCATTTATGGTTCAGTGAGTTGGACATTGCCAAAAAAGAGGTCAGTTTCATAAACTGTGGTTCAATTAACCACAACTTAGTAAACAAAACTAGTTTTATGTCCACGGGGTTAAATGTGTAGCTCTCCTGTTGGGTATGTAACCATTGTTTAATTAGGAATTGTGTCCTTTGTTTATCTTCATCTTATGCATGGCTATTTAGAAATAAATTCAATAGGGCTTGTTTTATGCATTTTGCAGACTTAGGTTTATGCTCGTCTGGATGTGAGATGTGCTGAAGTCTTTTACTTCTGAGGAAGGATGCCTGGAATTGCAGAAGAATGCTCTGAAAAACTGAAACATCATCAAGGTTTTCAATCAAATCAAATTGCTGAGTTGCCGAGAAAGAGGGAAAAAACAGTCCACTGGCTTAGTAGCTTGGATGCAATTTTAAAAGAGAGAAAGCTGAGGCAAATGAACACATACTAATATTAAATTAGAAGGGTCATTATAAATGTAGTTTATTTTCTTCTTTAAGTGTTGTCATATAGCAAATTAAGCCTCACTGGCAGCCTGATACATTTATTTTTTAGATCTGCATTACACCTTTCTTTCAGGACAGGAGCTTAAGATCGGGCATCTTAAGGCGCTACCCTCTGTCTGTTCCAATAATGTCTCTGTGAGATAGGCTGACCAAAGCCCATCAGTTGGTTTATATGATTTGTCTAGGTCTCCCAGGTCCCAGAGCAGCCTTTTCAACCTGGAGTTCTCCAAATTCATTGGATTTCTTTAGGGCAGAATTTCTCAATCGTGGCGACTTAAAGACATGTGGACTTCAACTCCCAGAATTCCCCAGCCAGCATGGCTGGCTGGGGAATTCTGGGAGTTGAAGTCCACACATCTTCAAGTTGCCAAAATTGAGAAACAGTGCTTTAGGGGATCATGGTAATTCAAATCCAGTGCTGCCCCCAGATTGGGGAAGGCTGTGTTAGAGGAAGAATGTGCATTCCAGGTGAGGTTTTGTATCTGTGTGTCAGAACCTCGCAATCCAGTTCTGCTACTTCGCTTGCTCGATTCTGCCTTCACAGAAGAATGGGGGGGGGGGCGTGGGGAGGAATGGAATGTGAACACATTCACATAACCACTTATCCAGGCCTGTTTGATTATCTCAGCAATAGAAGAATTTACTTGGACTGAAAATCATTTGTAAGGCTGTGATCCCACCAATGTACTCCATATTTCCGCAATGGTGCAGCACCAATCCTAGGAGTGAGTTTGATTTTGGTATCATAGTCCACATTTGGTCAGGAGTAAATGGTTTGCGGAGGACCCATGGCGGTCAGACTTGAAATAAAGAGTATCTGGTTGGGGCTGCTTCCTCTAACTCTCTTCTTCCTCTTTCTGACATCTTCCAGTGCAGGACCTCTGCAGAAGGCTTTGCAAAGTAAACTGAAAACTTCCTAGTGTTACGCTGCATGTCACAGGTTGCTCATTCTTGGGTATCTGCAAATGCCCCAGATGGATGAATTAGGCAGCAAGGCTTGGTGCTTCTGTGTTCCTCCATAGAGGTCTAAATAAATGCCAATCGTTCCTGATTATTCATAGATTAATTTCCTTGTTTTGATTTCTTTCACTTGCATTCTCTTTGCCTGTTGTTTTAAGCCACTTTGAAAGTCCATATTGAACTGAAAGGCAGCATAAAAGATTAAGAAAAGGAAAAAAAGTTAAACTTTGAGGAACATGCTTTTGTTCTTTCAAAGCCTCCTCCGAGACAATGCAAAAAGCCTTTAGAAAACAGAATCAAACTTTCAGAAGAACAACAGTTCTTTTTAAAGTCCTATTATCTGTAAGGGAATAGCGTCTTGCGATTCCCTCTTCCTGCGTATGTTTTTTTTTTTTTTAGTTTGTCAAAACTTTGTGCCTTGTAAGTGTTATCTCCTGTATTGTGGCTTCTCCAGTAGCGCATGGATGTGGTTTATTGAGGCGTCTAGGGAGTATTCTTCCTTAGGCTGAAGAGCTTGGCTTGTTCTTTGCACATCAGTGGAGCTTCTTAATTAAAATCTGCACTGGTGAGAATTAAAGCCAGCCCTGTACAGGGATCTCTCCCTCTTCCCCTGACACAGTTTGAAACCGAGATGAGGGAAAACAAGGCCTCTGACTGGGCCTCAACTGCTCTCTGAAACTGTTTCCATTTGCAGGCTTGCTTACTTCTGCTCAATTATTCTCTCCTGGGGAAAGAGCAGGTTTTTAAAAACACAAGATAATGAGGAATTCTTGCCACAATGCAGTAAGCCTGGAATGTTCATCAAATGTAATGGGCTGGGAAGAACTGGGTACACAGGATAGATCCTTTACACTTGGGCTGGTTTGTTTTTTAGCAAATTATAGCAGTATAGCAAAATGCAAAGAAAAATCATGGCGTTGATCAAGCATTTGAATTTTGACCTTGTATCTTTTGTTCCATGCCCCTTTCTCTGCCACTCCTTCCTCCTTTTTTTTAATCCAGAAAATTTGGGTCTTTGAAGTTGAAACATTAGAGATGCCGGGTTGAATTTTTTCAGAAGAATTAGCGTTGCTCTTTTTAAGAGAACATGAGCTTGTTGCAACAAACTGACTTTCATTGTGCCGCATCAACTGTTCTTAATAAAACACTTTGTATGTATGTTCATCCATATTGTTTGCAGCCTGATTGACAGCTGCTTCAGTAGCATTTTCCTGTTGTTTAAACTACAACTCCTTCCTGCCCATGTTATCTCAATCAATCAAGAATGACTTGGCCAATTTGATGATATCACCGTGAAAGAATATTGTTACACAGCCAATCAGATCAGGTTATAACATCACAAAGCCAGTTCAGGATGATGGCACTCTTCCTTGCCTTCACTCTTGATGGCTGTGCTCTTTCAACTTTGTTTATTGGCATATCCCAGTCACTAAAAGTGTTTTCAGGTTGTCAAAAGCTTTTCTGAAAAATGTGTTCTGTTTGGCTCAGATCTGGAATGTCAGTCAATTAGGAGTGCACGACAGCTTAATTGCCAAATTTCTTTCCTCTGATCACAAGTACTTCTAAGACATTTGCTTGCTTATTCTGTTGAGAACCTTTCTGATTATACCAATTATTTGTGGTAGAAACCTACAGGAGCTGAAATTTCTCCCCCAGTTTCCTACATTAGCCATTTATTCAGGGTAGACCTTTATCTTGATTTAAATCCTAGTCCCATGATTAAAAGCTCCTTTCTAATTAAATTGTTTAGTTGGAGATTCAAGAAATATCCTGGAATGGCATAGGTAACAGTTTGCGATGGTCCATCCTGGGAAAAATTATAATTCCCCTGAGGCAGTAGATGTGTGTTTTGGGGATTCTGGGCCCACGTTTGCCATTGATCACTCAGTGACCTCCCAGTGGGTAGAAATGCCTGTTTCCAGCTTTGGAGAGCCTACAGTCTAAATGGAGCGGCCCTTGAAGAAGGCTTGAAAGCTCCAACTGGGGCAAAAAGCCACCAGTCAGGGTCTAAATATGTAGGAAGGCAATGCCATATCCTTGGACTAAGCTTATCCTTCCATCTCTTCATATAGTTCTGTGATTTTCCAGAGTTCCTTGATGGTAGAAAGCGACTATCACCATTCAGAATTTGGGAGCAGACTTGTCTTTTGGATGACCGTGCCACTGTGTGTATCTTGGGTTCTGGTCAGTGTGTTCTTGTTGGGATCTGTAATTCCCATTATTTAATCATGGCAAAATCAACCAGTGAGTTATTAAAGGAATCAGCAAAAATAAATAATGCCCATTCTTGGCAAAAGAACTAGTTCAGTTGTAAGTACATTCATATCTAAATTGTCTCTCAGTTTTAGTTTTTTGACTGGAACTATCAATTGCTGTGAATTGTCAGTTTCTGAGATGCTTTGCAGGCTTTTAAAATATTCTGCTGCAAATTAGACCCTCAATTTAATTCATGGTATGGGGTACATATACCGTGCGGTCTGGGCTTAAATTTTGCTTTTACATAGAGTCGGGTTTAGTTTTCAAGCTGGTAAATTAGGAACAAGATGCCTCTGAGCATGCACAGAGTACCTTTCAACACAACTTATCCACCATTCATCATATCCATGATTATGAGGCGTGAGTATTCTGGCCAGATGTCATGATATCCTTGGTACCTTTCCATTTAGAATTACAAACTGAACAAAGAACTTTTTATTTTTGCTTTACACATGCAGATTGATAGATGGGCATATGCAGAGTGCTTTCTGGATACCAAATTCTAGCAGTAAGTTGTCAAACAACTTATGTTGTAGTTACTTCCTCAGAACTCTGGCACAGGCAATTGCTTCACGTTTCATTGCAATCTGTTGTTTTGTTGTTACTGAAAGTTGCCTAAGTCAGAAATGTAAGGAATTAACCATTGCCTTTATATCCTTTCTTCTGGGAGGCAAGGCAGCGTACACTTCCCTCTCCAATTTTATCCTCACAACAATCTTGTGAGGAGGGTTCAACTGAGAAAGAACGTTTGACCCAAAGGTGCTCAGTGACCTTCATGGTGGAGCAGTGATGAATCTGGGGCTTCTTTCGTCTTGGTCCGGCATTCTGCCAAATGCCCCATGTTGTCTCAGATGGAAACACCAGTTTAAAAGAAAGTTTTGTAAGCATATCGGTCTCAAGTCTGCTTAAAAACAAAGACTTGGTCAGCTGCCACTGATGTTGGCTTCAGCTACATATTGGGTCTTACTTTTCTCTTTCATTCTGTTTGTTTCAAAAGAACTTGAGAAATCAACCATCATAGAGAATGGCGAAATCCGCATCAATGGGAAAGGGAAGAAAATCCGGAAACCGCGCACCATTTATTCCAGCCTCCAGCTCCAGGCCCTCAACCAGCGCTTCCAGCAAACCCAGTATCTGGCGTTACCTGAGCGGGCAGAATTAGCAGCACAGCTGGGCTTGACCCAAACACAGGTGAGACGCAGGTAGTGCTACTGATTTATATCCTCCATTTGTTACCCACCATTCCCTGCATTCTGAGCGCACATATGAGGATTATGAGGATAATCTTCACAACAGCCCTGTAAAATTGGTTAGCATAAAGATGGCGACTTGCTCAAGTCCAGCTCCTTCCATCTAGAATGAAACCAGCTGGGAAGAATATTTGATAATGAAAAACTGGTAGATAGGAAAGAGATTAAAATTTCTTCTGCCCTGTATTGGCTTTCTACTGAAGGGTACAGTCTGGACTACTGTTCTAGACATTACAGATGAAACAAAAGTTGGAGTGTGTATGGGCAAGAAAATGATAAATCAGGGCTGGGGAACCTGCTTTATAGTGATCTAACTGAACTTCAGCTCCCAATAGCACATGCTCCATGCTAGCAAGGCCTTCTGGGAACTGTAGTTTTCCCATCTGCTTGCGTGATAACTTTCATGGGTAATTGACCTGTAAAGGTATGCTAGCTAATGTTTTCCACATTCAACCCAATGTATTATTATAGCTGCTGCTCCAACCTTGCTTTTCCCACCTTCAGAGCGAAGCATGAATGCTAATATTGTGCTGAGGAGCATTTTGAAGCCCTTCACGTACAACTTAGTGAGCTGTAGCATATCAGCATTATGAATTAACCTGATGTTGCAGATGGACCGTTGAAGATAAATTTCAGAAATTCTGGCTTTCCAAGGCTATCCAGTGGATTGATTCAGAGGAGAAATTTAAAGTATGGGCTTTATGGTCTCACACGCATACACACACATACACACATATGATGTTGGTCACTATATATATAAACATATGGATATATGTGTGTGTGTGTGTGTATTGATATGTTTATATATATAATGACCAACATCATACATATTTAAAAAAATAAATAAATAATTCCCCTCTCACCCCTATGGGTGGTACGTGTCTTCCTCAATCTCGGGTCCTCTACCAGAGGCCTGGGAGTTTGAGGGCTCTGCACAGTATCTTAGCTGTTCCTAGCACTGCACTCTTCTGCACAGAGAGCTCTGATGTTGGTCCTGGGATCTGTTGGAGCCACTCTCCCAGCTTAGGAGTCATGGCCCC